GCCCTCGCCCAGCCTCCGGCCCGACGCCAACCACACCGCCACCCTGCCACCCCTGCTGCCCTGCCAAGACGTGCCGCCTGGCTTAGGTGAGACCCGGGGCCCGGGGGCTACCTGCTGCCGAGCCTTGTGGGAGCTCGGGGGGCCTCACCCAGCCCCTTAACCATCCTGGAAAGAGGACATGCACAGGCATTGGCATCCTGCCTGTGGTGCCTCCTGGCATCCAGGAGAGGTGAAGGGGAGGGTGCTGAATGGGTGCCGGGATGCCTGGGCTCCCCGCCTGGCTCTGGGTGACTGAGCGGAGGGCAGAGGTTGGTGGATTTGCCTTCCCTGCTGCCACCGAGGCCCCAGGACTGGCAGGGGGCCAGGGGCAGGATCGGGCCCGTTGGCAGAGCTGCGTGTCAGGGGCTGGATCCCGCGGCTCGCCCAGGCTGGGGGCAGGGTGCACGGGGCAATCCCGGTGCAGCGGGCAGTGACGCTCTGCCCCCGCACAGTGGGGCGTCTCCTCATCGAGTTCAGCTCGCCCATGAGCATGGAGCGGGTGCAGCGGGAGACCCCCGAGGTGCGGGCAGGCGGGCGGTACGTGCCCCCCGACTGCCAGCCCCGCCAGAGGGTGGCCGTGCTGGTCCCCTTCCGGCACCGCGAGCACCACCTCAAGTACTGGCTGCACTACCTGCACCCCATCCTGCGCCGCCAGAAGGTCGCCTACGGCATCTACATCGTCAACCAGGTGCGCGCTGCCCACCGCGCGGGCCAGGGGGCTGTGCTGGGGGCGGGGGTCCGGCTCCTGGCGCTCCCCTGCCAGGCTGAAAGCTGAGCCCTAGCAGACACCCAGGCAGGAGCTGGTTCTGGACCAGGGGAGCTGAGGCCACCCAGGCCCATCCAGGGGCCCATCCAGGGCCGGCCCATGGCCCTGCAGGGAGCGTGGGGCTCTTGGCATGGCTGTCTGCATGGCCTGGCGCCGCATGGAGACCCCTGGGAGGATCCCAGGAGGGGTCGTTCCCCCGTCCACCTTCCAGATCCCTGCTGAGGTCAGGCCCTGTCTCTGCCACTGACCTTGGGCATGACCCTGGGCATGTCACCTGAGCTCCCCGCCCAGGGGAGGGGGCATCTGCCTGTGCCCTTGCCTGGGCAGGGAAGGGTGGGAGCTGAGCTGGCTGGTTGGGTGCAGCAGAGGTGGGGGGCTCCATGCTGGCCCCCAGCCATGCAGCCCTATCCCCGCAGTACGGTGAGGACACGTTCAACCGGGCCAAGCTGCTGAATGCCGGGTTCCTGGAGGCGCTGCGGGACGACCCCGAGTACGACTGCTTCATCTTCAGCGACGTGGACCTGGTGCCCATGGACGACCGCAACCTGTACCGCTGCTACGAGCAGCCCCGGCACTTCGCCATCGCCATGGACAAGTTCGGCTGCCGGAGGCCCTGCCACGGCCCCCAGCCCCCCGTCCCCTCCCCGCTGCAGGCTCCGGCCTCTCTGCATTGGCAGGCGCGGTGCCAGCAGATCCAGGGCAGTGATCCTTCCCCTCTATTCGGCACCGGGGAGGCCACATCTGGAGTCCTGTGTCCAGCTGTGGCCCCCACTACAGAAAGGCTGTGGACACATTGGAGAGAGTCCAG